GGGAGGGAACCGGGGAAGCGCCGGCAGAGACGCCGGCGATTGCGTCAGGAAAGAAGCCCGCAAGGGCAAGAGAGCCCACGACACGCAGTCCTCAGGCCGGGGACGCGGAACAGGAATTCCGTGACCAAAGGTGGCGTTGGCTGGGGTGTAGGGGAGGTCGGAGCCCCGTGAGAACCCGCCCAGGGGCGCTTTGGCACTGGAGGCCGTAGAGAAGGGGACCCCCCTGCTGTGGGCCCAGCCGAGACCTCGATCAGCGAGTTCCAGGGATCTGCCACCGGCTCCCGGGGCACACTCTGGGGACCTTCCAGCGAGACCGGGGCAGATCCAGTTAGCCGCCCGCGCAAGAGTTGCCCAAGAGCGCCTTGAGCGGCGTTGGGCACAACGTGGTGGCAGAGGTGGGATGATGGAGAACCCCGATCTGGTGACCTACGCCAACATGCAAGCCCCGGCCATTGGCCCCGCTGATGTCCTCAAACTTTGATTAAAAAATTACTTGAAATTAATTTGTTTCTTTGCAGGAACAAGTTGTTCCCTGAGCCAGTCATCAGAAACATTATGTATCAGATATTACAAGGGCTAGCTTTTATACATAAGCACGGTAGGTTTCTTGATAGTTTGATTGTGTTATCCTTTGAGGACGAAGACAATGCACAATAACTGTAAAAAAAACCCTATGCAGCTGGAGTTATAGACTGAACTGGTTGCAATTTACTGTATTAGAGATGAAATATGATTGCTCTTTGATGCATTTTTTAAATTGGTTTCAGTCACTTTAAAATATTTTTTTAAAAATCCCAAGAAACCCATTAAGCTATTTATTACCATCAATGAGCTTTGCCAGTCCTGGAGTTCAACATTAAAAAGCCATTTTTTGAAAGCAGCTATACATTTTTTTAGTGTTTAATGATAGCATATCAATGCTAAAATGTACTTAAAGAGTTTTAGTAATTTATTTTTTTTCCATAATCACATTAATTTTGAAGGAGGGTTCATTAAAACAAACAAAAGAAACCAAAAGCTTTGTTCTAATGAATCCCAAAGCAAATGTCATACCTTAGAGAGCTTCTGAATAAAGCAATGCCATAATTTTCCTCCTCCTTTCCCTCTCCCTCCATACATATTTTCACAGGTTTTTTCCATCGGGATATGAAGCCTGAAAACCTTCTGTGTATGGGGCCAGACCTTGTGAAAATTGCTGATTTTGGTTTGGCTAGAGAACTTAGGTCTCAACCACCATACACAGACTATGTTTCTACAAGGTGGTAAGTGACATAAACACAATCTTAATTTATCCTTTTCTTATACCTCTACTTCTGAGTTTGGCCTGTTATTTCTTTCCATCTCCATAGGTATCGAGCACCTGAAGTCTTGCTGAGATCTTCTGTTTATAGTTCTCCTATTGATATATGGGCAGTTGGCAGCATCATGGCTGAACTGTACACACTAAGACCTCTCTTCCCAGGCACAAGTGAAGTAGATGAAATATTCAAAATTTGCCAAGTGCTAGGGCCCCCAAAGAAGGTAAGCTGCTGTGCAGACTTATATAGTAGTAAGAATTATGGAGAATGAAATAAATGGATTGTATTGGATTCTGTTTTACTTTCAAGGGATGTGTAGAAGTGAGTGTTCTTATGATTGCTTCTCCATATTGTTCATTCTTTCTGGAGTGTTTTGTTTGCTTCTGTTGGGGTATGAAATATTGCTTTTTTATATATTAGCATCCTTCTTTGTGGTGTACTTCTACATGCCTCTACTCTTCATCATTGTAAAATTCAGACTGGTCTGGGCTTTACAAATATTAACGTGCAGAAATTCTTTTCTAAGATTTCATCTATCAGAGCTGCCTTTTTCTCACTTAGGTCACAATTCTCTCATGGTGTTAACCCAAATGAACATTTCGGGGTGTGCTCAATCCCTCGTCAGGGAAGATTTGATACCACTTCGAGGTAAGGGACCGACTCCTGTACCGCCTACAAGGGGACGGGGGGGGGAGGCTCGAGGGTCCGCAGCTAGTGGTGCCCACCCGATTCCGCCCGGCTAT